CGAACTGGTGGGGCCGCTAGTGTAGCGGCTATGAATGTTAGTTCGAACTAACGTCCGTTAGTTCGAACTAACATTGTAGTGTAGACATACCCTTATTTACCTTCTATGTGAGGTACTTACCCATATTCCACCTAGATGCTCATGAGTTTCTTGCCTGTAGAACATAAGATTTTTGCTAGTAATATAGGTTGGTTCACACCAATGCTCTTTGTCTCCTCATCCTCTGTGCCAAGGGTATAAATGGAGTCATCTCTCCAGTTCTATGTCTACCACAAATCTCATGTCAAGATTGGCAGCAATCGGGAAAGAAGGAAGGTAGCGGAATACAGATAGGGATCACACATTTCGAAGAACTTGAGTTTCTGCACAAGAAACCACTCCTTCTTTGAATGATAGTCCCTATCTTTATTCTATTGTGGGTGACTGACAAGCAATACTTTTTATGAAGGAGGGTGCAAGGATTTATGTACAGTTAGCAACAGGAGGATTTCTGTGACAACTGAAACATCAACAGCAGATACCTGCCTCTTGGATTTTCTGTATTTCCACTTCAACTCATCTGATGAAGTGGGTTTTACCTACAAAAGGTCAAGATCCTATACCTTTGTAAGTCTCTAAGGGAATGTCTACACTACAGAGAAGATCAAAGCTGCTAATCTTCCAAGGTTCAAATTAGCAGATCTAGTGAAGACACGCTAATTTGAACTGAGGTGCACACTCCAATTGATGCTGGTAGTTCTGCTTCCATGAAGAGTAAGGGAAGTTGAAGGGAGAGTGTTAAGGTACTTAACCAAAGTCAAGTTAAGGTACTTCGACTTCAGCTATGCAATTAACGTAGCTGAAGTTGCATATCTTAATTCGACCTTATCCCGTAGGGTAGACATACCCTAAGGTGCCACAGGACTGCTCATGTTTTCCTAGTGCTTGTATTATTTGAAGGAGTAAATAACACTTCCTTATTCAATTTTTTCCACATCATTCATGATTTTATAGACCTCTATCATATCCCCTCCACATAATCATTTATTTTCCAAACTGCAAAGTTCCAGACTTTTTAATCTTTCCTCATATGGAATGTGTTCAGTGCTCTCAATAATTTCTGTTGCCCTTTTCTGTACCTTTTCCAAATCCAATATATCATTTTTGAGATGGGTGGCTAAATCTGCACTCAGTATTCATTATGTGGACATACCATGGAGTTATATAAAAAGAATACATTATTTTCTGTATTATCTATACCTTTCCTCATGAGTCAGAGGGTACGTCTAAACTACATCCCTCTTTCGAAAGAGGGATGTAAATTAGACATATCGAAATTGCAAATGAAGCCAGGATTTGAATTTCCCATGCTTCATTTGCATAATCGTGTCTCGGCGTTCTTTAGAAAAACGCTATTTCGAAAGTGAAACCGCAGTCTAGACGCGGTTCTTTCAAAAAGAAAAGCCTTTTTCTAAAGATCCTGTACTCCTCAAAAAATGAGGTTTACAGGATCCAGTAATTTATTTCAGTAGAGAATTAAATGGAAATTTTTTGACTGGAGAGGCTGCTGTGTGACACCAGGCAGCACTTTTCACTTCACTAGCCTGGAAACTGAAAATATAGCCAACTGCCCAATATTCTGGCTGCATTTCATTTTCAAAGGTAAAATACATATGGCAATTGTGATGTTGTCTATCCTGGTGCCAACTCAGCACAGGGTTGCAAGCTAATCTACTCATATGCTAATAGAAGTATTGTAACGTAATCAGGCCAATTTACTTGTGTGTTAATTTGGTTAAAAGGAAATGTTAATGGTATAGTCTTCACTTATCTAACCTGTTGATTGCTGTCGCATTACCCTATGTAGATCCCCCCCCCCAACTAATTATCTCTTGATCAAAAGGGTGTGTTAGTATTATGATAAGAATGCACTTGATGAGTAAACTTCATGAAAACTATGAAGGATTGTTGTTTGCTATTACATTAGATTTTACATCGTGTGTATCCCCATAATTAAATTACCCCATCAAATGCAATTGGAGTTTTAGAAATATGAAGAAGAGTATTATATTCAAAACAAGGGCTATTCTGTTAAAAAATGGAAATTCACAGACTTAGGGTGTGTCTAGACTACCTAGTTTTGTCGACAAAAGTGGACTTTTGTCGACAAAACAATACCAGCGTCTACACTACCGCGGAGTTCTGTCGACATAACGTCGACAGAACTCCGCAGTTTTGTTGACGCTGGTATACCTCATTTTACGAGGCAAAACACCTTCTGTCGACAGACTTCTGTCGACAGAAGGTGTTATTGCCTGTAACGTTGCGTCCAGACTACGGAGTTCTGTCGACAAAGCGGCTTGCTTTGTCGACAGAACTCCATGTGTCTGGACGCAAATTGTCGACGGAAGTTTTGTCGACAGTATCTGTCGACAAAACTTCCGTTGACAAAACGTGGTAGTCTAGACGTACCCTTAGTCTGCATTTCCTGCTCATCAAATCTACATGGATGAAGGCAATGTTCAGCCGGATCTTTGGAGAAGAAGCTATAAATACTGATTCAAGGAAAGGTCCTTTACGTCTGACTGTTTTAGACTCTTTTAGGGAAAATATACCATATACAATGTGGAGATTCCCAGGAACATCTGGATTACCTAAAAAAGCTTTTGGGAAACCGAGAGATTATGACATCTCTACTATCTTGCTGGACTTGCAAACTCTGACTCGCCTGTTAATGTATTTTATTTGCTTAACTTCTCAGAAACTCTCATTTCTTTTTTCTTTGCTTTAGCTACTTTACTATAGCATTAACTGTCAATGTTGTCTTTGGTTTGCAATGCAAAGTTACCAATTGATTTGGTATAAGTGACTGGTCCTTTGGTTTGGGAATAACCTGATGTGGTGTAATTTTTGGTTTATGTGACCATTATGTGACAAAACTTGTATTTGCATCTGCATCTGTATCCACAAAAATGAGCTGCAGATATCTGCATCCACACCCACAGATGCGGGTATGCCTGGATATGAAGAGGATATCTACAAATTTGCAGGTTTTTAGGATACAAAATTTCTATCTGCATCAGTATCTGCAAAACTGAGCCGCAGATGTCTGCATCCATATCTGTGGATACTGATACTGGCAATTCTAAAGCAGATATTCACGGATTTGCAGGGATCTAGTTATCACTAAATCCAATTTGTCTGCATGATAAGAAAAGCCTGAGTGCTTCAGAGGATTGTCTGTGACTCCATGACAGAGTGATCCAGGAGCCACAATTGTTATTGGCTTGGTGAAATCTAATGATATAATATTCCACCAGTTTGGGTTTTTGCTCTGTTTTCTGATAGTCTGATCTGAACCTGGCACTCACAGTTATGTGCCACTCTAAATAGCATGACAGTGGTATCTTCCTTAAATTATTGTACAGTGGCAGAAATTAAAGGAACCATTTATCTGCAACCATAATTTAACTGCCTTAATGGGAAATTTAGCCCAGTTTTTTCTACCAGTTTGAAAATTGGTACCTATTCGAGAAATATTTTTAATATATGCCAGTGGGGAATACCAGGAGAACCTGTAAAAACTTTCAAATAGGCAAAACTTTTAAAGTGGGCATTAGTATTACATTATTACTAAGTTGGACAGAATATATTAAGATAAGAACATTAATAAATTATAAGATTGTGCTAATCATTAAATGAAGGTTAGAAATATTTTACTCACATCCATCTAGCTATTACTCCTGGGGGAATTCTGCACCACTGCAGAATGCAGAATTTGCACAAAAACAAATGTTCTGTGTATAATTTCCTTCTCCCTTCCTCCCACCTGAAATGAACAGCAGTGCTGCTGGCTTTCAGTAGGGGCCAATGGACCTAGTAGAGGTGAACTCCCAAACAGAAGACACTGCCAGGGCAAGGAGGACAGAGCAGGAGAGTTCTGGGCTGCTGATGCTTCTAGCATGCCCTTAAGGAAGGAGGTGACATACAAGAAACTCCACACAAACCTGAGATCAAACATCTGGTTGTTTTGCTCTCTGGGTCCCTGAGCTCTGGGAGGATAGAGAGTCCATGGGAGTGTTTGAGCTGGGGAAGGAGGAGGACCTGCACCTGGGGTCTGGGAGGGAAGGGTATATTTGGGCTGGGGGGAGCCACTGCTGGGCTCTGGGGAGTATGGTGTGCAGATGTGGGGAGCTTACATCTGGGCGCTGAGGGCAGGGGAGTCTGGGTTGGGAGAGTACTCTATGACTGGGCTCTGAGAGGTAGGAGGTGAGAGTGTTTGGGCTGGAGAGTGCCCGATGGCTGGCCTCTGGGAATAAAGGGTGCAAGTATTTGGGCTAGGAGGTGTCCTGCAATTGTGCTCTGGGGGGATCCAGGATATGAGTGTCTTGGCTGTGTCTGTGTGTGCATGGCTGGGCTCTTGGGGAAAAGGGATGTGGGTATCTGGCCACCTGGCTAGGCTCTCGGGGTGAGGGGAAGAGGGCAGACAAAACAGGGTTATCATAGGAGTTTCTTTAACTCTCTACTCCTGATTTGTTTGTGTGTGTGTCTGTATTGTTACATACATAGTTGCTGACAGGTATTTTGAAACAAATTACTAAAATAATTGAAACTGGTGTGATTATAGGGTATTTCTACATTGCATTCCTCTTTCGAGAGAGGAATGCAAGTGCAGCTGAATGAAACTGCAAATGAAGTGAGGATTTGAATTTCCCATGCTTCACTTGCATAATCGCATCCAGGCGCTATTTCGAAATACCACATTTCGAAAAAAGAAATGCAGTGTAGACGCGGTTATTTTGAAAGAAAACCCATCTTTTGAAATTGCCCTTAAACCTTATTTTATAAGGAGTAAGGGTAATTTCGAAAGAAGGGTTTTCTTTTAAAATAACCGCGTCTAGACAGCATTTCTTTTTTCGGAATTGGGTATTTCAAAAAAGTGGCCGGATGGAAATATGCAAATGAAGCGTGGGAAATTCAAATCTGCACTTAATTTGCAATTTTGCTCAGCTGCATTTGCATTCCTCTCTCAAAAGAGGAATGCAGTGCAGACATACCCATATTTTGACATGTAAAACATGCACAATTTTGCATAATTTTAAAATATTGTACAAACAATTTTTAATTTTTTCGGATAAGAATTCACCCAGGAATAGTTGTTTTGGCTTCATGTACATTTTAGAAAACCAGTTCCTATATGCTTAGAATAAAGAAGTTTAAACATAGAAAGATTATTTTAGCTTAGCTGCATTCAGTCTTTAGTTTACCTGTGATGAAGGAAGTGGTGACTCCCAAGGTATGATAGAGTTTGTTACCTCACAAACAGAAGCATGAATAATGTTCTTCTTCTGTTGTACTGATGTATTTTTAAGCCGTGGAATGAAAGCAAGAATACCTGCTGCTGCAAGGGAGCAAAGTCCAGGCACTACAAATCCAAGGTTGTAACTTCCTAACAAGTCATATATCCATCCTGAAACAAATAATATTCCAATTGCATGTAATTGTATTCTCCCTGCATCAAAGCACATCTTTATCTTCATATTGCTCCTTATTATCCTATAATGCAGTAATGAGTGCCTTAGAAAAGACAGAAAAGCCTATAAGCTAAAATAATTAAAACTCCCTTTGAAACACTTTATTTTATTTCATTCAATATTTTAGACATATTATGTACTCACCTGTGAGAAGGCATTTTTAATTTATGTAGCATATATGAATCACTAAACTTTGTGGAGAAACTTCCCATGCCTCTTGCAAAATGCCCTGGTGGGTCCAGTGGGATGCAAGTCAGATGGGCTGAAAGCCCATTATTTCAAGGTTTGTCTCTATGGTGCAGGTGAGTAGACTGGGGGATTTTTTTTTTTGGATGAACAGTTTATTCACTAAAAAATGCAGTTTCAGATAGACTGAAACGATTTGTGAACTCACGTCGAGTTTGCCAAATAGTTTTGACTGAACCTAAAAATTCAAAATGTTTAGATAATGACAAATGAAACATTTTGTTTAGTCCTGAAAATTTTGTTTTGCTTCATAGGCATTTTGGCAAAGGAAAAACTCACAAAATGGCTAGAAGATGAAGTGCTGCCTCCTTTGTATGCTTTAGTAAGTGGTTGGAGTACTCATCTAGGACATGGTTATCTTTGCAGAGAAAGTAAAAAAGTAGGGGCTAGAACATTAGACAGACTTGCTTGGGGCAATCCCTCAACATAGTTTATAACACTCATGGAAGTGGGTTATTTATTGCAACAGGAATGCTCTCTCCTGTCAGCATAGAACATCTTCACCAAATGCACTGCAGTGGCACAGCCTTATCAGTACAGCTGCAGCACTGTCTGTATAAACATACTTAGTGTCTCAGCCTCTTGAAAACAGATAAAACCAGTCACTGTCTTTATCCCCAGGGACCCAAGACATAAAGATGGATATTTATACAATTGTCTTTGGAATTTTGCATTAATCACCCCATAGTGATTCCAGATTCTGTAATGGACACCTCTAGTCAGCCAGGAACACATGATTACATAAAACTTATTAATACAAAGGTCTCAACTAATCCATGAGCTCTTATCATCTTGCCTATCTCAATATCATGGTCTTTGAAGTTTTCAGGTCTCAAGACTGTTTCATATATACAGATAATATTAATAAAATTAAATATAATGTTCTCAAGATATCCCTGTGTTTGTATCTGTCACAGTCACAACAGAAAAAGGAACAGAAAAATTATCCACCTTGAGCAAAAAAAAATATGTATGGCAGCATCAACTTGAAGAAGTTTTAAATTTCTCTCCCTACTATTAATTCCTCCAGCATCATCTCTAGGTCTATGGGGAGGGGCTGTCTCAAAAACTATAGCTGCGGGGGTAGCTGAGTTAGTCTGTTAGCCACGTTTCTCAAACTATCAGAGGGGTAGCTGTGTTAGTCTGATTCTGCAAAAGCGGCAAGGAGTCCTGTGGCACCTTATAGACTAACTGAAGCACGCATCTGATGAAGTGGGTCTTTGCCCACAAAAGCTTATGCTCCAACACTTCAGTTAGTCTATAAGGTGCCATAGGACTCCTCACCGTTTCTCAAACTGTGGGTCCCGACCCTCCAGGGGGTCACAAGCAACTTAGAGGGGGGATGTGAGCAACTTAGAGGGGAGTCGCGGTATCACAAAGTTTGAGAACCCCTGCTGTACAGGATAAACTTAAAAAACAACAAATGGGCTGGTCACACTTTATAGACTAACTAAACATGTAGATGATTTGTTAGTCTATAAAGTGCTACCAGATCATTGTGGTTTTTTAAGTTTATCAAAAACTTTAGACAGTGGAAATCATTGTAAGAACACTTTAATATTGTTAGTAAAGTTGTTAATATAGAGAGGGCTAAACATAGTTCTTCATATGGAAAAAACATTGAAATACTAGCATATGCAATTGCATCTTTATTTAGGGCACAGTCAAATACACCTTTTCTATGTAGACAACTCACCTGCAAATGGTGGACCAAAACTACTAATTGTGTGGACAGCCATCATAAATCCCCAGGCCACAGGCATTTTCTCTGCTCCCATCAAGTCCAGAGTGAGAACAGGTAAAAGAACATAGTTTCCAGCATCAAAAAATCCCAATAGCGTGCCAAAAGCAATTAAGGAGGGAAAAGTTGTGCATAGAGGAACTGTCAAGTATAAGAGCCCTGGAAAACAAAAACAAAATAAAAACAAAACGGTTGAGTTGTTTTTGGTATTAGTTACACTTCTTATGGATGAAACATCTGTGTTGAATGGCACCAGAAAAAGGCCATGTTTTCTGTAACTAGTTAGCTGGTTGCTATGCAGTTCATTCGACACAATCTGATTCTGAACTGAATTTTAAATTTCTTGCTAATGTTAAATTCTCACATAGCTGCATTCATACATTATATTTTCTATCATCTCCAGTTGGCTAGGACACTTTATCCCATCCAGGTGGACAATGACCTGCCCTTAATTATACATACCTTAGTCTCCATTCTACTGGGCAACAACAATGCAATATACCTGGACATGAAGCTATCCACCCTCAGAAAATTTTAACAGAAAGGAATGTTGTAGCATATCTTCTCAGCAACACAGGCTATCACAAAGAAACTCACACTTGACCTTTAGTCTCTATACTGACTTTCCATAATATATTTAATCAAATAAAAGGTCTAGTCCTTATGCTACCTTCAAGCCACTCAGTAGCCAGAATATCTAAAAGTTCACCTACCTACAACTTGGAAATAGTGATCGACAACTCCACACCTACGGGCCCATCAAAACTTTCCATCATAATAGTAAAGCTTATTGGTGATAGGAACAGAACTTTGTCGGGGGCTGGTCCAAGGTTGTTGAATGAACTCCCACAGGAAGTAAGGCCTATCACAAACCTCACTACTTTCCCCCTCTAATTGCAAGGGACACTTCTATGATCTTGACTTTTCTAATATACACACAGAGCATAACACACACAAAATAAAGCCCACAAACACTCCACTACACACACAATTCTCCCCATTGCAAAGGAATGAGGGAAAGAACAAACCACATGTAACAGATGTTAGTCATGTCACTTAGTGCATTATGGTAAGGGGCTTATGCACTATAGTGAGGAAAGCAGTACACAATCTGTGTAAGAGTGATTTCATAATTTAATGTTCAGACTGATAATGGCTGTACTTGAGCAATGTAACCTGACAGGGCACGGGGAGGGGCTCCTCTCCATCGGGGTCAGTGGACGGCCACTCCGCCCCGCTATACCCCACTCAGTTCTTGTGGGGAATCAGCTATGGCGGCCAGCCCTAGGGTAGTCCACAGCCCAGCGAGCAGTCTGTAATAATAGTCTTTAAACACCAGCCCTGGTTCAGGGTAGGGCAACAATAACCCATAAACTGTCCTCAGGCCCATCCCTGGTTCTGGACAGAGCAGCAGGAAACCAAATAAACGATTCTATGGCCCGTCCCTGGTTCAGGGCGGGGTAGCAGAAAAACAATTTTAAGCCCAGGCCCTGGTTCAGGGTGGAGTGGTAGGCAAACAAACAAATAGCTCAAGGCTCGGACCCTGGTTCAGGGCGGGGCAGCAGGAAACTGTTTGAGCCAAGGCTCTGGTTCAGGGCGAGGCGGCTGGCAAACAAACAATTAGTTCACAAGTCCCATTCGCAACAACCCCAGATGTGTCCCCTTACTCTGATGGGGGTCTGGCAGATGCAGGCTACTAATCAGGAACAGCTGAGGGGGGAGATTGCCACCCAAATTGGGGTAGCAGGAGGGATGCAGGACCACCCACTCCACTTTGTCAGTCAAGGGCCCAAGCAGCAGCACAGTGGTCTGCTGCTGAGTCAACAGGGATCCGTTCCGCAACGTGCTGACCTGGTTCTAGCTCAGCCAAACAGGGGTCAACTACTCCTGGGCTCTCTCCTTTCTCCCCCTCGGGCTGTAGTTGGGTCCAGTGCAGGTGCTCTGGACACCATCGTTCTGGACACTCTGGCCAGCTAAGCAGACTCTCCTGGCAATAGGCCAGTAGCAGGCCCACTGGCCCAGGCCTGTCCTCAGCTTCCCCAGGGTCCAGCTCCTCATTTGGGTGCACAAGGGAGGCTTCTGGCCCCTCTGGCAGGCCTTTTATATCCCTGGCCTCACCTCCTGGTTTCTGGTCAGGTGAGTTGCTAGGGCCAGGTGCTGCCTACCATGGCTCAGGGGTCAGTGGGACGCCACTCCACCCCACTACAAACAACCTCAACTATTATACAATGTAGAATTTTTTGTGTTAGAACCATACGCTGATATGTACAATTTGCTTTATTTATTCAGTTCTGAATTGTAGTCTGGTGGTAAATTTATTTGCTGTTATTAAATAGCTTAAATACATGTATTTCTTTGTAATGCTATATGCTCTCTGATAAGAAGAGTGGATTTGAACTAGTGTAGCACTTATATTACTTATTTGAACTTAAAAGCTTTGCTAGGAAACAGTGAAGCTTTAATGATCTCTTTGATTCCTGTGGGACAGTGACTCATCAGTCAGGGCATCCCCTTACGGCTAAGTGTGACACCATAGGCTTTTTCTTCACATTGTTCAGTCTCTTCATGATGGCATGCTTGGTCACATCCTTGACAATGAAGAGACATCAGCACCTTTTCAAATAGCAAACAGTACAAAGCAAGGATGTGACCTTGCTCTTCTCCTGTTCAACATCAACTTTTCAATGATGCTAATAGTTGCTTTTAAGGACTGCACATTGGGCATACCTATTCAGTTTTAAACAGATGGCAGTATTTTCAATCTCCAGAGACTTCAGACTCGCATTAAAGTGGTTACTTCAACTATTCGTGAATAACTTCTCAGAGAGTGATTATTAATGGTTCACAATCTTGCTGGAAAGGTATAACAAGTGGGGCTCCGCAGGGGTCTGTTTTGGGACCGGCTCTGTTCAATATCTTCATCAACGATTTAGATATTGGCATAGAAAGTAGGCTTATTAAGTTTGCAAATGATACCAAGCTGGGAGGGGTTGCAACTGCTCTGGAGGATAGTGTCATAATTCAAAATGATCTGGACAAATTAGAGAAATGGTCTGAGGTAAACAGGATGAAGTTTAATAAAGACAAATGCAAAGTGCTCCACTTAGGAAGGAACAATCAGTTTCACACACACAGAGTGGGATGCGACTGTCTAGGAAGGAGTACGGCAGAAAGGGATCTAGGGGTTATAGTGGACCACAAGCTGAATATGAGCCAGCAGTGTGATGCTGTTGCAAAAAAAGCAAACATGATTCTGGGATGCATTAACTGATGTGTTGTGAGCAAGACACGAGAAGTCATTCTTCCACTCTACTCTTTGCTGGTTAGGCCTCAGTCGGAGTATTGTGTCCAGTTCCGGGCACCGCATTTCAAGAAAGATGTGGAGAAATTGGAGAGGGTCCAGAGAAGAGCAACAAGAATGATTAAA